CATGTGTAGGATTTGTAGCTCTGTTCCATTAAATTTCGAACGTCAATGGTGGAAACCCCAATGGAGAGAGAGAGAGAGGAGAGAGACATCAATAAATCGTGTTCAATAATGCACTTGCGGTTTTGGATATTCGACACCCTTAATATAATATAACAAGTTCACATGTCCGTGACCACAACATGTTTACACGTATGCCACTGATCTTTCGGCAAATGCACACATGCCAGCCACATCCATTCTCCTCATCTCCGATCCGCTCTGATTGCCATCAAAGAGTATAAAGAGCAAAACCTAATTGCATTTCGCAGGGTGAAAGTCGCGATCAAAATATAAAAAAAAAAACTAATAAGAAAAAGTCTAGAGTATTAAATAACGCGATCTTCTGCAAATGGCTTTTTAATTCATTAGTATTCCGATGGTAGAATTATCTCTTCATCAGCATACGCAGGTATATTTAGAGCGGTTAGATAAAATACCTGTTTCGGGATTCACTGTGAAAGAGAAGCGCGTGTCTGAGAGGGTTCAGCCGACGTTCATTCAGCTCGACACGAGGATTGGATGGAATAATGTCCTGTAATGAGAGCCTCCCGTATTTTTTTAATCGTCAAATGTAGTGGAGGTGAAGAGAAGAGAACTGCACCCGGCGATCCTTCGTCCGGCGACTTGTCACACCCGGACCAATTACAATTTAAACATCTTTTCAAAGGACCCTCTCATTTTCGCATCTCTGAAAAATAAAAATTGCAATCCTCATCTATGCTGTCATCTTCTCGTCCGGAGGATATGCAAAGCGAACCATTAAAACGTCATTTTCCTTCCTATAAACACTATTCTTCATCACCAAAAAACACTCCAATTTCACTACGTTCCCACGCAATTAAAACTTAATAACACAAAAAACATATCAGAGTTCTCCTAGTCACCAATTTAATAGCATAATCAACAAAAGAATACAAAAATACGGTTTATTTTAATCATATTAATTTCTTCAATTAGTCCGGTTTCAAACAATATTTGTATTTATTAATATCTAGAATTATTAAAAAATACTTTATATTATCCAAATACTATTTTACAAAGTTAAAAATTTCATTAATTAACTATCGATTTCCAATTACAAAGAAAGCAAAAAATTGAACACATTTATATAAATTTCAGTTTTATTTTATTTATATTTTTTTATATTCAAAGCAAATATATTAACAAGTGAAGCTTTTATTTCAATTTTTAGTTTAGTGTGCATCTCCATAATTATCGAAATTACTTTCTAACTTTCAGCAAAAAATAAACAAGAAACAAATTTTTATTTGCAAATAATATTAAACAAGCTTTTATATTTATATTCAACAATACTACACATTACCTGTAAACCGGTTTTAGCTATCAATATGATTACTGAAATTACCTGTAAATCTTCATAAGAAATATTCGTTTTTTTTTTCTCTAAAACTCCAGAATAAAAGTATTGAAATTCCGTTTTCAGAACATGAACTTATATTAACATCTACATTTCTACCCATAAAATTGGCTGTAGAAGCTATAGGTGCAGATGATTACTCAATACCGATATTACCCATATACTTATTGTTGACAAATTACATGATTTTAAATTATCCTCGAATTTAGTAGGACTTATTAAAAAGTTTGTGTCTAATCTGTGTTCTTAATGTAATAACTTTTATTAAAACTTAATTGGTTATTGTTAGTAACTCTATTTACATATTATACAAACATTGCTAGTTAAGAAGTAGTACTATCATACAAAATTTTCAATTAAAAAATACCGTTAATTTATAGGTTAAGCGGTTATAACTTAAAATATTTACCGTTTATCGATAGAAGAAAATCTCGGTAATTTTGGAACATAATACATTTTAATAAATTATGAATATTAATAATAATAATAATTTATTGACCAGACAGGAAATACAAAAAAAAATACATTCTATATATAAATAAATAATAAAAATAAATTCTAACATAAATTAACAAAAAAAAATTAACATGCTGACCAAAGGGCTATTGACCGAGGTCTTTCCGCCCTATGAATATTATGTTTATACACTTACAAATTTAATAATTACTGCAGTTAGGGCATCCAAAATTACCGAGATAAATAAAATTTAAGCCTTTCTCTAAACTTTGTTTGTTTATTTCTATACATCGTGTTTTGAAAGAAATGGCGGTATTTACTAATCGCATTGTGAAAATGCACAATAAACAAGGATACCTGTATATTAAGTTGTCATTGTTAGAGTAAAAACAACTGCCGGTCAAAAACGAGAACTAAATAGTAGAAGTACAAGATGATGACAATTTCAAGGATCAAGTGAGAATCGATGGATGCAGCTGGTGCGATGTTTTTTGTGCGTTAGAGCAATGTTTCGGAATTCATTATTCATGTGGCCTTACGTGCCTCGAAGTTCGTAAGAAGCGCAAAGCATTGTTCTTCTTCGTTGTCAATCCACTCAAAGCTAATGTAATTGACGTACATTTCCGTCGCATTCTCAGGCAGAACACGCCGCCGTTCGATACATATCGATTTTTTTTATCGGCTATCATTTACATTGCACAACGCGTCGTACAAATAACAATTACATTTAATTACCCATAAAACGAGAAAAACTGACTACTATATTATCGATACAGAACAGCATGTGTTTTGTACTTATTTTTTTTATATTATTATATTATATTTAACATTTCGTCATATTTTTGACCAATAAATATGTTAAATAAATAAATAATTGAAAGTTAAGCAATTAGATTGATTAATTGATCAGATTCAACAAAATGATTAATTTAAATAACAGATTCTCATACTTAACATTTATCAATCAAAATGTAAGTCACAAAAAACTAAATATAATCTAATAAGTATTGTTTTTGGAAAAAATAGGCAAATACTTTATATACATTTATAAAAGCAAAGTATTGCCAATGAATACTATATTATAATACCAATTATATTCATTTTTTTTTAATAATATAAAGAATTAGTGTTTATACATTATTTTTGGGCGAAATAAACTTATGATTATTAGACTTTTGTAACGTTGTTTTATTGTTAAGATGTGATTATTTTATTTTTGTTTACTTTTCGTGATTGACGTAAGAAACAATAATTTTATAAGAAAAGCAATAAAATTACAGATTACTTCTTAAAATGATCAAAATGTAATCTGTAGTATCATAGATATTAAGTTTTTAAAGTAAATAAAAGTGATGTTTGTATTTAACCGCGTTTTTCAATTATCCGTGCTTTAACATTCCTGAATACCACGGATAATTGGCGTTTTAGTGTACTAATTAATTATTAATTATAAGTATTCGATAAACAATTATGCAACAGCATTAATTATATCAAATCTTTAAGTAATTTAATGAACATTTCATTAATTAATTAATTAATCATATTTTTTACTTACAAAAGATAATTAAACTTTAAAGTAAAGCTCAATTAAACAGTTTTCTTTGGGTTGTATCTACCTACAAAACGTTGTACCATTATGTATCTTTGCAAGGATCTCCGGAGATCCAGGAAACTATAAGAATGATAGTATTATTTTTTGTTGTTGGTGATGGTGAAGATAAGACGCGGGTGCGTTTATTTGGTTTTATTTTGGGGGGCACGTGCCGAAAAACGTAAAATTTATGGATTTGCACGGCGTTTTTAAATGGCCCCATGCTGGTAGCAAGTGCTATAGATCCAAGTTGAATTAGTGGCTGAAGGATGATGGGTCATCGGTCTGATGGAAATCGATTTGCATGGAGTTATTAACTTTTTCGGGGCGAACGTTTTAATCCCAAGCGAGGATAACGATCTGCTTAATTAAAGGCTCTTCGTTCCTTCCTTCCTTCCTTTCTACCATACTATATCGTCCATCCTTCAATCCTCCATCCATCGGCTTTAGTGTTAGGTTACAGATAGATCATCTTTCCCCATCCTTCGTTCCTTTCGACCGTCCTGCGGCGTCTGCGCATGACGGCCCGTGCCGCAGGACACATGCACGCGCCGTCAGCTCGGAGGTGCTATTATGTCGCCATTGGCCCATCTGCTGCTCATCCTGTCCGCCCATTGGACGCTCGTGCCCTTCGCCTCACCACATTGGTCGCACTTCCTTTCAACGCTACCGCATCATCCTGTCTCATGGTCATGCATAGTCTGCAGTCCGACGATTTTCGTAAATGCTTTACGTAATTGAAAATATCAATGTTACACAGACAATTATGTAATAATTTTTACTTAAATTAATTTCAACAATTAATAAACAAATATTTCAACAAATTAGAGATCAATAATAAATAATTAATTATTTCCTTATATACTTTAAGGTTTGTTTATTTGTATTTTATTTGGAATTAGAATTATTTGAACACATCGAGTTTTTATAATTTGTACCAATATTAATTTCCTATATTAATTTTATATATTATTTTGTAAATCCAATTGTAAATCCTTTTTGTTTGTTCAGTCAAAGAACAAAAAAAAACTTTTATATTTTGTTTTTTTTATACATTCAACTTCAATAAAGAATAAAGTCAAATCATTCATAACATCAATTGTATTATTGCATGAAAAAGTATGCAAATATTAATTAATTATAGTCATAATATTTTTTACAGACATTTAAATAGAAAATCTACTATGCAAATATTATTATTTTGATGAACAACATGGTAAGATTTGATTAATTAATTATCAAACTATAGGATTTTTAACAACTTACATTCCCATGGAATAAGACTATTAAGCATTCATTTCTTAACAACATTACAAATTGTTTTATGTAATTTATATCATTTAATGTTTATATCCAAAAAATATTTTTGATAAAAGACTTTTTATTGAATAAACGTATTTTAATTATTATGTTGTTATTGTTATTATTATTTCAGATAAAACATTTAAATGTTGCGGTTGTAGTGTGACAAAATGTCTACGAATTTGATTGGCTATAGCGACATTATATATAGATATAGTCAGAACTGTGGGACGAAGATATGGGTGCGCGACTGCAGACTACAGTTGGCCGACTGCGGGGCGGGTTTTCGACCCTTCGGCATGAAGAAGTCTCGCTGTTAACGCCAGTAGCACCGTGTGATCCTTGAGCGCTGTGTCCTCCGCAAGGAACTAGTGGTGCCCGTCACGCTGCCAGGACTATAACGAAACGCTTACAGCACACAACAACAACAAAACACGCGCATACCGAAACCGCACGCACCACCCACAACCCCTAAGGTTAGTCACATTTACTCTCTAAACATTTATTACATAATTATTCACATATTTTATGGCTCCCTTCTACTTGAACTTCAATGTACACGACTTATATTAACAGCAACAATCAATATTCTACTTCAAATTTTAGATTTACAAATATTCAAAAGATAGAACTAGCCTTTTTGAATAATGTAAAACTTCATAGTTTATCCTTAAACTAAACCCATTACGAATACTTAAATCAATCAAAAAAAACTAAATGTTCACTAGATTTGAAACAAAATATTAACAATTTTATTGAATTATATGCATATTGAAGGACTTTAAGGTAAATTATTCTCTTTTTGATTATTAATATTTAATGTAATAATTAACATCTAAATAAATATAGTAAACCAAATTAAATTAATCTGAACTCAATACATTTTCTCTTGATTCATATTTTATTGGAAACAATTTTCTTGAAATATATTCATTTTTAAGTAAATGACTTTTAATTTATTCTATATAAAATATGATTTTTTTTATTAATATTTAATAATTTATAGCAATCAGTTTTCATTAATTTAAAGACAATTTAAGTGGTATAAAATTAATGATCAAATTTAAGTAAATTAATTGTTACTAAACTCTTTTTTGTGCATTACACAAATAAACTAATTGTAAATTTGTAAATAAAATAATTATTACTCAATTTATATAAGACTTAAATATTATACATGGAAAAATTTATATATAAATATACGAATTTAACTTACATTTACATTATTATTATTGGAAATGTACTAATAATACTTTGTAAATAGAATAATTATTACTGAATTTATAAAACATATAAATAATTTACGTGTAGATAAAATGTAATAAACAACATGCAAACAATTATAATAATTATTATTTTTAAAATATATAAACAGTTGATGTGTTAAAAGTTAGTAGTGAATCATTGTTTTGATGTAGATCATGTTATTTGCAACGGATGAAGCTGTAAAACGAACATAAACATAACAATTATTTCAATTAATGTAAATCCGTAAGTGTAATTACTAACGAGGAGATAATTCTAATAATTACCTGTTATATTTTAATAGCCGCTATTTATTTCAGTACTGCGACACGTAATTAAACGATACTTTATCTTCAATTAATATTACCAAATCAAAAAAGCGTTTTTCATTGTTGTAATTACCAAATACTTTTAAATCAAATAATTATCTTAAATAATATCATTTACATTTTATAGAAAACTAGAAAAAAACTATTTTTTTGTATTACTTAGAGATGAAAATGTATATCTTCAAAGTAACAAATTCATCGATTATTTAAAAAATAAAGTTAATTGTTTCAAATTATAAAAGTAAAAAAAAATGTTATTTTTATTAATTGTATAAAATATTATATTTTCTATAACTATTCTATATTTACTACATATTTAGTAAAATTTAAGGTTTAATTTCAATACAAATTAATTAATTATATCTAAATTTATGGCAATTACCTCAATTAGAGTTAAGGTAACAAATAAATATTAAAGTAATTATTAGTATTGTTCAGAGAACAAAATTTCAAAACAATTGAAGCGTCCAGTGATGGGCAGATGTTAGTTAGGAAAGAACACGCGAAAACAAAACTAAAACCCAAAAAATGTATATATGTAAGAGGAACCGAGGAATAATGAGTGGAATAAGGATAGTAGGTTGCAGCACGAATTTGATAATTTGTACCAATTAAGCCGAGCCATTTTTGCCTACATTTTTCCCATGCACTTATTATTGGACAAATACGGAATTACTATTATTACGAAAATAATTACATGATCCTCGATGTTCCAGTACATTTTTTTGTTGTTGTTTTTATTATATTTCTTTTCTTATAAACAATTAGTTTAATTACGCAACATTCGTAGTAACATAAAGAAAACGACATTTTTTTCTTTCGAATATCACGACAACATTATATAATGTGTGGTTAATACAAAAATAGTCTTTTTATTTACGTTTTTCATAGCATAACATTAATTTTATTCTTCTCTAAGTTACTTTAATCAATTAATTTATAATATTAATTAGTTCGTAAATATTTAATTATGCAATTATATTCATGATTCTTATGAAAATTCAGATTTCTTTTCTTTGCTTTTTTTGAAGAATTGCTTTTGAAGAGAACAAATCTGAAATTAAAAAGTGTTTTTCATTCTTAATTTTTATACAGTAATTATATTAAGAAATTAATATAAATAAAATGTGGATACGCGACAACTCGGCGACGGTCACATTAAAATAAAATTTTAACATATACATAATATATATTAATATACATAAAAAAAACAAAATCTAATTTTCTATAAAAAAATTGAAAATAAATCAAAAATAAACTCAAATATGAAGAATCTTTACATATTTTGTTTTATTATGGATTTTTTTTAAAATTATTTTCATTTTATTTTTTTATATACATCAAATTTACGTTATGTTCTATTACATGGCTAAAAAAATATTGTTATTATTATAAGCGAATATGTTAAAATTTTATTTTAAAGTGTCAGTTGACCGTCGCCTAGTTGTCGCGTACCCATAAAATATATATATAGAAAAATAGTTGCATTATGAATATAATGATTTTATGCAAAAATATATGTTATAAATATGAAGGTATTAAATGTCTGGTTCATTTGAATAATGCGTTTTTGCATTTGCTTAATCAAATTGGTTAATGTGTACAAGAAGTTGTAACAAATTAATAATGTATAATAATGCGGGCAGAAAGACCTATAGTAAATAGCAGTTTGCTAATGATTGGAATTACAAACGTGTATTTAAAAGTAAATTTTGTATAACTTTTGCAATATATGTTTTCATGATTGAATATCATTAATAAATAATAAAAAAAAAACGTTAAGGAAAGTTAACATTATTGACGCTTGAAAATAGCTTTATTTTTCATTATACAATAAATAAATTTTAATTAGTAAAAGTGCACCAATTGATAAAGTTTCATCTTCTAAATGTTAATATTGGAAAAATAAATTTCAACTTGGAATTTATGATATTCATGTAAGGTTGATTTTTGTTGAAATGTGGAAACAATTGCACTTTTGGTTACGATCAGGAAATAAAAGTTTTTTTTACTATTTGTTTAATTTTTTTTTACAATTTTAGCCACAAATTTCCTTTGAATATAAAAAAAAATCTTAAAAAATATAACGTTTTAAAATTGTAGAAATTATATAATTTCTATTTATTTTGTTCTTAACGGAATAACTTGGAAGAATCGTTTTGGTTATAATTGTAACAAGTCTTCGGTTATTATTTTAAGTGATTACGTAATACAATATAATAATTTTCAATAAAATAGATCCGTTTATTATATAAAATCAAGTAAAATCTGTTGATATATGTAAGCATTATACGGTTTGTGTCCGAACAAAGCTGATTATACGTATTAAAAATTGCGTAATTAAATGTAAGTTGCTGGTAGTTGCGGTGTGATTGATTGCAGACAATAAATTTGAAGTAACAAATGAGCAAAAGTCGCATTGATTCAGACCGTCACGTAAGGTTAAGTCTGAGTACAAGTTGCGAACGTTGCGAATAAATAACGATGATTTGTCCACGTAATCGACTTCACCATTTGTTGGACCTAATTATGCAAATAGAAAAAACAACAATAAATGGGCCGTTATTAAGAACCGTCAACGAAGGTGGATATCAGCTTATCCACGATTACAAACATCAGAGGAACGCAATGGGAAAGAAGTGAGCAGTTAAGGGTGGTTTTCATAGTAGATGGTGGATTGGTGGTAGCGTGCGCGCGCTCTAGCTTAAATTAGGTTTAAAATGAAGGGTGTTTGACATTAGTCACAGGATACACACGTTCGTTCGTTCATATGTATGTAATATAATAAGCAATGCTCATTCTCTCTCGATTTGCAAATTATCCGGCGCTCTTGCAACGGGCTTATCCATCGAATACATCTTAAAATATGCGTGGCATTTGCATAAACATCCATTTAATTAATTCTGTTATGCTTTTTCCACCGGGATTGCATATATGGGTCTCTCAGAGACGGCAGAAGTAATTGCCTTTGAGCGCTGGTTAAAACGCGCAAAAATTCCGCTTTGCTTCCGATAAGAAACCTTTCACCGATTCCCTTCCGAACATCCACAATATCCCAACTATTCACAGACCTCAAATAACCAACAGTTTTCCAATATCGAGTTAAGTACCTGCAAATATGATCAGTATTTCAGACGGTCTCTTTTATGTTACAACACAAATCATTGTATGCTTTTAATAGGTCACATTAATTAATTAATTAACTAATTAATTGAATTTTTTTATTATTTTTTTATACATATATTTATTTTTTATGATCTTTGAATAAACATTATTATTACATATAAATTTTAAAGTTAAATATTTCCACTTTATTTAAATAATGCATAAAGAAAAACATGTACATTGCTAAAAAAATATTCAATTATTAAATATTTATTTACTTTTTAACATAATAACTTTAAGGATAATCTAGAAATGTTCATAAATGTAAATACGTAGTTGCTTTGGATTCTTCCCAAATTAATTTCAAAAATTTGCGATTGATTTTTGACAGGTCGGAAAAGAGCTTCATCGTATTTTGTGTTTATTAACAAAATAATCAATTCCCAAAAGAATGTTAATTATGGATGTGAATCTGAAATGTCTATAGAATGAAATGAGGGTAAGCACACGTCTGTAGCTGCATTCTTCTATTTGTAATTAATTATAAAACTTTTTGCATTTGACAAGCAACAATTCGAAAAATTTGAAGCAGTTCAAAATAGAAGATTTAATAAGAATATAAATCTAGTATGTTCATAGAAGCAAATGAGCATAAATGTAAATACATAGCTACTTTTGATTCTTTTCAAATTAATTTAAAAAAAATGGGAGTGACTTCATCGTATTTTGTGTTTATTAACAAACTAATCAATTCTCAAAAGAATGTAAGCTATTGATATTAATCAAGAATGTTTATA